GTGTTTTCTTTTTTTTTTTCTTTTTTTTTCTTTTTTTTTTCCTCTCCCTCTTGGAATGTGATTATGGAGCCTGGATTAGAAATGTGCAGGAAGCCCGTGCCACCTGCAGGTGCTGGGGAGAGGCTGCACTTCTCAGCAGTGTCCAGTGCTGAGCTGCCTCTTACAGGGCCTGCAGGTGATCAAAATGAACCTGCTCAGCTTTCTTTCCTACTTCAGCAAACGGAAAACACAGAATATAACAGAGGGTGTTGTTCCAGAATCCCCATGTTAATCAGTCTTGACTAAATATAAGTAGAAAGGGCTCAGATGAGGCAGGATCAGTGGGGGGTTGTTTTCTTCCTGTTGCCTTCACAGAAAGCAGCTGGTGCAGCTCTAGGTCTGAGGACCCCAGGGGCCAGAACTCTCCTGCTTTGGTGTGTTGGCTTCTGTATTCATTGATATTCCTCTCTTAATGAGAGCCTAATGTCTGTCTGGGAGGTAAAAAGATGGAACTGTGTTTCTTCTAAGGATGAACTGGTACGAAGTCAGGTTTCTGGGGGCTCATTGTCAAATTTTAGCTATTTGGGACTTTGTTCAGCCTGAACCCCAGGTGTGCTCAGATGCCACCTCAGTGGCATTGCTGGAAGCCAAGCTGCTGTGCAGGTTTGAAGCTGCCTACAAATAACCCTCCCAAACAGCAAGAGAGAGCACGGATGGGGAATGATTTAAGGAGAACAAAACAAAGTAATGGAAGACAGCATGTGCTGCTAATTACCTGCCATTCTGATTTCTGGGGTGATTTTTCATCCATGAGCTGTGTGGTCGAATTCAGCAGCAAACCAGGAGTACGTTCTGGCTTGTGGGCATGTTAAATACTGGGATTGACATTGTGTCATTCCTGCTCCAGGTCTTCCATTTAGGCTCGTGCTGTAGCTTGGGGAGTGCTGCTGGAGCTGGGTAGTTCATCATAAGTCGTAATTGCATAAAGATGATGTGCAGGAGCTCCCCAGACTCAATTTCCACTTGTAATTGGCAGATGAAAGAAGACTCAGAACAATTATCTGATATTAATTACGTCAAAGACTTTTCGGATTTTCCTCATCTTTAAAGTCTCATTTATTGACATGACCAGGGAGCTTTGTGCAGGGAAAGAGGGAGGGAGCCTATGACTCTTTCAGCAGTTCTATCTGAAGCTGACTTGTGCCCCTTCATGGTAGAACATCTTCAGCAGCTTTAGCTCTTGAAGTCTCGTGGTCTCCAAATATCACATTGGTGTAAAATGTCAGCAACACCTCAGCCTGGAACTTGTTGCTTGGCTTTGTGGAGGAGAAAGCACAGGGCTCAGAGCTGGGCATTCGCAGCACCCAATGCAGTCCTGCCTACCTGTGCCTCTCAGAAAATTCAAATATTTGTTTCAGTATTTATGCAGAGTGGGCTGAAAACTGTGAGCAGGGACTGAAAATTCAACCCCTGAAACAAAGTAGTTGTGCCAAACCCATTTCAATGGAAGAGGAGCTTTCTACAACCAAGACTTTTATTGGATAGTTTATCCTGTGAGGGGAAGAAGGGAGATGTGGCTTTAGTGGACACCTCTAAAAAAACCAAGAACTGAGTTTTAATTTTGCAGAAAAAGCATCTATGAAGTTGTAGCTACTCTTGCAGGTGAGACTGGACAATAATTCCAGACTTATTTTTGGAAGAGTGCTTCTGTAAGGTAATGGGAATGTTAAGGAGGAGAAATTCTAACGTAGCTGTGCACTCTGATAATACACCTGCTCTCAGCCACACTCTCTGCAGTTACTGAGTTCTGTGCACTGAAGGCAGAGAAGAGTTCCATTAATTCCAGAAAAATGCTGGATCAGAAAACTCTCTGCTGGAGGTCTGTTATACACAGGTTATCTTCTGAGCTTGTGTGGACTGGTCCTGTGCTCTGACAGGCCTGATTTTGGTGGTTTTTTTTGTTTGGTTGAATTTTTGTTTTTGTTTTGGGGGTTTTGTTTGTTTTTTGTTTGGTTTTGTATTAGTTGGGGTTTTGTTTATTTTGTGTGGGGATTTTTTTGTTGTTGTCATTGGTTGGTTTTGTTTTTTTTTTCCTTTTCCTCTCTGGTGTTTAGTCTTGTGGCAGCTGTATTATGGGATGGCAAGGGAAAATGACAATTAATAGTCCCTGCCATAAGGAACTAACCTGCAATCTGTGTGTGCAGGGGGGAGGCTTTCTGTCTTGTTCCAGAGTGTGTAAAACCCACTGGAGGGTATCGGTCATCTGGTGTAAAACTAGAGTAAGCCTGCAACCAAAAATGGACTTAAATAGAACTCAGATCATGGGTGGAAGTTACAAACCATGGGTGGAAGTTACAAGATTGAGTTTTGTTGGATTTGCAACCCTGTGGTTCCACCTGTAGCAGGTGTAATGACTGAGTTGGTGTCTCAGCTTCCCAGCACATGGGGAGTCAAATTTGCTTGCTTTCATTTCTTGATGCCTATTTTTACAAATGCTGTCAGCATGTTGTGTGTTCCCTGCCTCTACTTGTCCTTCAGGTTTATGTGATCAAATATAAACCTTGTTTTCTTAGGAATCCAGGCAGGAAAAGCGAAAGTAGTCAAATATAAATACATACCTCCCTTGCCTTTTTTGATTGAGCATCCCAGTGTCTGTGGGACTGTGGAGAGGAACTGTCCACTGAGGGTAGCATGAATAATGGCCCTCACTCCCTTTTAAAGCAGGGTAATAATATGCAATATTTATTGTATTTGCCTGAATGCTCAAAAATTATGTTTGGGCTGAAATTTATACCCAGCCAGGCCCCTGGAGGGCACCAACGGCCAACATTACAGATTTTTCACTCTCCTTTTAGCTATTACCCACTGACACAGAGCACTGTGAGAATGGCAAATATATCCCCACGTATAGATTAAAGTGAACTTGCTTTGCCTTGCATAATTTGAAAATTCAAAAGACCAATTTCTTAGCGTAATTGAAAACCGCTACATTTCAGGCTTATTCATTGAATCAGTATTTCCAGTTAGAATTCAAATTAATCTTTCTACCTTTAAACAAGATAACGAGGGTGTAGTTATATTTACTCAGCCTTTTAACAATCAGGTTCAGTGTAGCTGCATATGATTAACTATACAGCCACGACTGCAGAGGGTTAGTGTGGGCATGGCTCGAGTCATGAGGGAAATTCATCTCTTAGGGCTGAAAATCTGAACTGACAGTTCAACACTCAGCCCAATGCCCCAGTCCCTCTGGAAGAGAAAAGTAAAAAGGAAGGAAGGAAGGTGAAATGACCAGCCCAACATAAGAGCTGTGTCAGCTTCTGCATGTTCCCCCCGGGATTATTTTTTTTTTTAATTCAGCCTGGAGTCCTCTTGCTTTAAAGCTGTGTTAATGCAACTTTACTGAGTTACCTCCAACACCTGTCAAAAAGAGATGTGACATCTGAGAGTGTTTTTGGAGCACATCTGTGCATCTGGGTGTTCTGTGGGTTGGTCAGCTGGAAACACAAGTTTGAGGTTTGTGCGTGGAAACCTTTATCTGGAGCACACCCTGCTCTGCATCTCAGGTGTCTGGTGTGGTGGGTAAATTGGGTGGTAAAAATCCCCAATTCTGTGAAATAACAATGGGTGGGTTTTAGGAGCTCAACTCTACAAAGAGAAGCCAAAGGGATAATTTTACCAGTATCATCCTAAATTTGGGCACCTGAGGCATTGTGGACTTCCTTGGTATTTGGAGTGGCTTGGACTGACTTTTTCTTAGGTTGTATAAGGAAGCAGAGCTCCTGAAGTTCAGGAGAATTAAACTGAACCACAAAAATAACCAAACTTTGGCAGAAGAAGGCTTTTTAGTCTTAGTGGTACAAGGCCCAGAGGCTGAATGTCAAAAAAAGAAGTCAAATCTGCAGAGAACAAAGCAAGGGAGCAGCTGGTCACAGGCTCTGGTGGATCCTGCGTGACTTGCAGTGTCCAAATGGAGATGAGTTACCTTTCTGAAAGCTCAGCTCTAACTCCAAGATTAATTCTGGGAAGTCCAACCTGCCCTGTGACATACAAGAGGTCAATATGAAGAATATGGGTTGGTTTTTTTAATGCATTAATAAAGAAGGGGCTGTTGCACAAGGTCACAGCAGACAGGTTTGAGGGCAGGTAGTTCTGCCGCGCTGCATTTCTGCGGGGAAGTGCTGAACACGTCCGTGTCCCTGTGGCTGTTTTCCCAACACCTTACAAGGGACTGGGTTTCCTGATGCTGAGAACCTTCCTGGTTGTTGGTTTGGTGCTTGGAGGTGTGGTGTGTAGGTGGGCACCCTGGTTTTCCTGCAGGGAAGCACATCACTGTGATGGCTCAGCCGGCAACAGCCTTTGCAGAACGTGAGAGGTTTCAGGGGATTTTTTCGTTCTTATTTCTGGGAATGGCAACAAATAAACCAGATTGTCAGTAGGAGTATTTGACCCTCCACATAGTACATCTTACCTGCAGTGGGCTGTGGTCTCTGGCAATACCTGTCCCCTGTGTGAGCTGATGCTCTTCCATTGAGGCTGAGCTGTGTTTCCTTGCACTTGCAGTGTCTCAAATCTTGCACGTGGGCAGCAACTGCTTGAGCTGCACTTGCTTGATTTGTGTGTGAGAATGTGCAGAGGGCACCCCTCAAAGTGAATGTTAATAACCAGTTGTTACAGCATCCTGAGCAACAGCTGTGCAGAGGTACCTGGGGTGGGTTGTAGGTGTGTGTTCAGGTTGCACTGTCACAACTTCTGAGCTGAATCCACCTCCCAGCTGGCTCCTGCAAACAGGCAGGAGGCAATTTTTCTCACAGGCTTCTACTTTGTGCTCTATCAAGCAATCTGTGGCTCGTGCTTCATTATCTGAAATTGCATTATCATTTATACTTGTGCAAAAAGGGATTATTCAATTCTACCTGTGTTTAAATATAAACATCAATGTAATATAACACCCTGCAGAAGGGTGAAGTACTTCTTTGTTGGCTGCTGTGCTAATTGTCCTCCCTGTCACTCATTTACAGGTCTGGGCTGGTTTAGCTCTGCATCTGTCTCTGCTGCACTGTCTGCAGGCACAGGAGTGCAGACTGTTTAATTTGCACTGGGGACTCCCTTTGACTCCATGAATAAGAAAGCACCTTTAAACACTCCCCACCTCTACTGAGCTGCATGTTCCTGGTTTCCAGCTCCTGTGTGCACTTGGCCAGCAGGATCAGAGCTGGGCCTACAAGGTAAGTGTGAGCAAACTTATAACGAAGTTGTTAAATTAATGTAAGTTGTTATTTACCTGTCCAACATCTCAAATTGGACCATGAACTTGATATTTCCAACACTATCATTACTCTACTGTTGAACCAGCATGGTGATGGCAGGTGGGACTTACTGGTTCTTCTGGCATCTTTGTGGGCCCTGAATCTGTCGAGGGAAATCTGTTTTGCATGTGAGAAGACAGGGATTGAGGTTACCTGGGTGATCCCACCTGCAATCCTTGTGCTACTTTTAACCTGTAGGGACTAAGTAGACAGTCACCTCTCCCTAGTCTTTCCCCTGATTACTCTACTGTGCCCAGCATACACTGGAAAGAGAAGAGATTGTGTCCTAATACACTATTTTTGAAAGGCTGGCTGTTGCTGTGTGAAATCTCCTCTTGAGTTACTAAGGGGTTTTATTCTGGATGGCGTCCTGCATATGTTTTTCAGTCACAGACTGGAATAATTCCAAGGAAGCTGCTCTGTTCTGTTGCCTAATTAATAATACATTTCTTTAAAGAATAAATAAAAAAAAAATCAATGCATATTTAACTGATAAGCTAGAGTAGCTTCAAAAGCACTGTTTTGGTCCATGAGCTGCATAATACTGAGTGCTGTGCTGTGCTACTCTGAAAACCCTGACTAGAACCAAACTTCGGATGTGTGAGTTTGCATCGCGTCTAAAGTTGTTGGATGGTTTAATGTGTTGACTTTCATGACTTCTGTTTCTTTCCTCTCTTGGAGAGAAAGGATGAAAAGTACAATTTATTGAGCTAAGTGAAGTAGTAAAAGAGGTAAAAGCCTCTGTTGTTGCCTTTCTGAAAGGGATTTGTGACTAAGATGAAACCTGCAGCAGCAAGGTGAAGTCATAAAGCCACTGCCCAGCATCACCCCATCCTCAAGCAGCTGTTAGTCAACAAGCTGCTCTGGAAAGCAGCTTATGTGGCTGTTCCCTTCTGTTAAGGAATGAAGGGTAAAATATGGTGTAAAACTAGGATTTGGGAGAGGATTTTTACCTACTACTGTCACTGTCCAACAGTGGCCAAAGCTTCTCATTGTGCAGTTGCTCGTAACGAGGTAAGAACGGAGATTTTGATATGAACTTTTGCCACTCTCACTTCTGCTGAATCTTGTAAAAGCTGCTGGTGCCTGGTTTTGTAAAACCTTTACTGGAGGAGGAGAAAAACTCATTATTGCAAAGACCAAATAATTGTGTAAACCAAGTTGGTTTTGATTCTTCCATGGCAGTTATTCCTCACCAACACAGACTGTTGACATGGGGAGAGTAAATGAGGAGGGCGTGGAGACCTGATGGGAACATCCCCAACAGACAAAGTTTTTCCTTGTTTTTGTGTGCGTAAAAATCTTTAGGTTTATTTTCCTCTGGAGATGTGCTTTCAAATAAAGAAGTTTCTTTGGTTTCTAGAACAGTCTTTTGCAGAGTTGATAGGCAAACAAGCAGAACCTTTCCCTCTCTGCTGCTCTTGCTCCCCGGCTGCCTGACCTGGCACTCTGGGTGCATTTCCCAACCTCCTTTTCCAGAGCTATACCCCAAAACTCCCAGGTCACAGGGGATTTCCCACTGTCTCTGCCTTTCACATGGTTCAAGGAGTAGCAGCCAAGATAAAAAAAGTCCCTTTTTTTCTGGTGATGCTCAGCAGTACCTCCAGGGTTGGCTGTAACCTGGTGAGCAACACCAGGTACCGCCCGTGGCATTTGGGATTCGAGGCTGGAGCTGCAACGAGATCAAACTACACACCTTGCAACACAAAAGAGGATTGCTTTGATGAAAGCTGAGGCTTTAATTTAATTTGCATGGGATCTAGATGGATGGCCTGTGTGATCAAAATGGATGGTGTTGTAAATAGGTTCAGGGAGTAACAGAGCGATGCCAAGTGACAGGAGCTCGGTCATGGGCTCAGAGACAGGACCTCACCCTGACCCTAAGCAGGAGAGTGCAGGGCATGATGCAGCTTTTCATCTCCTGGTCGTCAATCATGAGCTTTGAAAGCCTGGAGCCAGCTGAGCTCTGTTATATTTTGCTGGAGGGCAGAGGTAGAGCAGTGGTAACTGCATGGCTCGTGAGATACAGAAACCTCATGTCGTGCTGTCTGCACCTCTGGAGCTGGAGCACTGCTTCCTCTTGGCTATCTCACTGTAAGTCATTTTTAGCCCCAATTAACAAACAAAACTCATTCATCTTGAGGATGTCCAAAATGGAATATATTAAGAGTCACAGAGGCCATTAAGGAAACTTAAACCCTCGTTTCTTCCCGGTGTCTGAAAGATTTATTAAGAGAGTTCAGGTTGGAGATGTGCAGAAGCTCAGGTGGTCAGTTGTACACTGGACAGGAATCATTAGGACAATATATTCTTTAAAGTCATTGCCAGCGTTTTTTAAAACATTTTTCTTGACTCCTACAAGCAGAGGTAGTCTTTATTTAAAAGATATTATATTGTCTTATAGCTGTGAAATTGAGCTCAGAAAGGCCAAAGATTCCATTTTTCGGTGATCTGGTTCCTGGGAACCATCTGGCTGCATTAAAGGTGAGAATTAACTTACTTAGCTAGTAAGTTAATTGATCCCTTCCAACTTGAGATATTCTATATTAAGCAAGAATGATTTGGGACCCTTGCCAGTGAATGTCTTGGAGGAGATCTTGCATTTTAATTCTCAAAAATGGTGTTTAAACTCTTTATTTGTTTCCCTGATATCTCCCAGGTTGGATATCAAGCTATGTTAGTTAAACCTTTATCACTTCTGCAAAAATTAAGTCTTTCAAAGGGACAACTTTAAAGATTTAAAGGTCTCTGCCTTTCAAGGGTGCTTTTAACAGATGTATCTTTGCTGAAATGCTCCTTAGCACAATTGCAGTGCAGTTAATCTACCACCCTTTGGAGCTGACTTCCAAACTGGATAATGGAAATTACCCCAACTTCTGTGTCAGTTCCCAACTGCCTAAAGATGGTGATTGCAACAGCAGGGAAACAAATAGCTCTGTGGTCCCTGAAAATGAGATTTATCTTGTACTACTCATGTGTTCCTGAGGAATCTTGGAAACAGTGTTTTCAGTTATCAAATCCAGCTCCTGATTTTGTGAGCAACAGAATCAGAGTGAAATAACCTGGGAGGATGGTAGAGAGGTCATGTAACTCATCCATCAGCCCCAAGGCAGGATCAACTATATATTAATCCTGACAGATATTTATTCAATGTGTTCTGAAAGATCTCCAATGGTAGAGAGATGCTCTGCTAATCTGTTCTGTCTCCTCATCCCTGCCCTTAGAAAGGTTTTCTTGACATTTACCCTGAACGTTTTTTCTTGTAATTGGGCAAGAAAACTGAGTGACTTGTCTTATTTGTTCCAGGTATGGAAAAAAGATTACATTCTACTCTATGTATATGAAGGCTTTGAGGTCCCTTCGTGGGTTGTGTGCTCTTTAGGGTACACAATCCGTAATGTTTTAATGCTTTTAATCTTTCTTCATGTCACTGCAGATCTCCCATCTCATTGCACTCCTGTTGCTCTGCCCAGTCAGGCTGCATCTCTCCTGATCCAGAATATCTTTCTTAAGTGTCTCCACTAGCATCCACCAACCTCTTTTGATTCAGTAACTGTTTGAAATATGTTTGCTATCAAGATTAAAGTAAACAAGGGCTATTATTTAAACATTATTTCCTCTAACTAGATCAGTCTTCCATAGTAACAGTAGTCCTGGTAAAATTAAACCTAATGCTAAATATCAATATGGAACTAAACGTGCATTTTGAAGTGACATTGGAGTTCTAAAGCAGGCTTCAGCAATATTCAAGCTCAGTATTTTTGCCCAGTGATTTAGACCCAAACAGCTTCAGTCTTTCACCTTTTTTTAAACAGATGTTTCCTATCCCCTTTAACTCTTTGCTCTTCCCTGAACACTCAGTTGCTATTTGTGTGTGTGTGAAGTTCTAGATCCCTCTTGTTGTGGAAGGTATTCTCATTTGCACACACTCTATGATGTGACAACTTATTTAGTAACAAATGGCACTTGTTGCTGATTTTTGTCACATGAAACTTCTGCAGAGCCTTTTTTCCTCCTGCAATTAAACCCTGCATCTCAGTTGCTGCCTTTGTTTCCTTTGAACTCATCAGGGGAGGAATATAATCAGATATTTGAAATTACAATCTTGGGTAAGAGGCAACATTAAGGTGTTGAGTACCACAAATCTTTGTTTAGCATTTCAGAGCAGGTAAGCAGACAGGCCAAATAATCTGCACTCATTTCTGAGCAATAATTCAGATTCTGGGGAATCAGATATTGCCCTAAGCAGTTTTGAGGAAATAAGACTCAGTTGATCAAGGTGGGAGAATAAAGCTGCAACAGCAGAAGCTGCAGAGATTTAATAGTCACTCCCAGCTGAGTAATGCATCTATTCTTCATCCTGCTGGAAAATTCGGGGTGTGCAGAGACGGAGATGGCAAGGATAAAATATATGTAAAAATTTGGGATTAAAGGAGTCCATCTGATCCCTTTAAACCAGTCCAGAAGGCTCCACAGAACCTCTGGCTCTTGCCTAGTAAGCCTCACCACCTGCCCAGGCAGGCACAATAATGAACTGCAGATCTCTAGCATGAAAGGGGGAAAAATTGTGATGTGCCAGAGGGGAAAGCAAGACATGGGAAACTCTTGCTGGTGTCTTGAACTACTGAATTAGCAGCAAATTTGCTGGCTAAAAAAAGTCCAGCTGGTGTTAAGAAACAAGTTGCTTTCCCAACTTCAAAGCCTGCACTGGGCTGTCCAGGGAGGATAATTCCTTCTCTGAACAGTCCATTTAACTCCTGAGCGCGTGAGCTACGTGAGCCCCTGGTAGAGGTTTCTCTTTTTTTTTATATGTCTTGCAAAAAAAGTGTTGGACAGTTTGTGCTTAAGGTGAGAAAATACCTCTTTGGAAGGTTTTTATGGAAATTGCTTCTGTAACAGGGTCAGAGAGAAACC